GGGACACTTTGCTAATCAGCTGGTGGCATTTAAATCTCTTCTGGGAGGCCTCCCAAGCACTCGGCTTACGGGTAACACTGCCTCAATTCCTTTCAGGATCTTGGCCTTCAGGTTTGGGGATGAAACTTGTGCCTTTTCAGAGAGCCAGCACAAAGCCTGTGCACCGAGCGAGTCCCGTTTTGTAGGCTTAAGTGACAGTTGTGTGTGTCACGGGGGAGAATTTCAAACTTCGTGCTTTAGGGCTGTGTCATCAATCACTTTTTTGAAACTTTGAGCTTAAACACAGTTGACAGCTTCCCTTTTAAAGCATTTGGCATCGTGTGTGCAGTAATAATGGAGACCAGGATGGAAACATCTGGGATGGGAAGGAGAGAAAATCAAAGCAATAAACAAATGAAGAAGTAAGGGGGTGATAACAGCATCTGGTGGAAGAGTTTCTTTTGAATCCATCCTGAAGTAGCCACGCCACACACTGCTTCAGGAATTGAACACCCCTTGCTTCCAAAACAAAGGAGAGAAACTAAGAACAGCACAAGCCGCGGGGTTCCCAGGAGACCAGCTGTTCTGTAGGGGCAGAGCGAGACACTGCATTTCACATGTGAAGCTTCCAGGGTGATCTGTGAGCCTGGGATTTCTGCATATTCTGGTGGGTCAGGGGCCCTTGCATCCGTGGTCTGCTAGCAGATAATACCCAAGGGTCAATGCAAGAAGCTAGGAGTGTGGGAAAAAGGGATCAAGAGGCAGATGGATTTTCAAAAACTTCCCTGTAGATATGTGCAGCACAGGAGCCTTAAGGAAAAAGCTTTTGTTTCCCTCTCTGCCAGCAAGCTCTGTCTGAGGCTTGGAACGTTGATGGACATAGGCCCATGGATACCAGCTGGAGAGTTGGCTTGTACATTTTTGTTTGATGGAGCCACTAGTGTGTGGGCCTGAGCTGCGACCTCACTGGTCCGGTTTTCAACTGTCCCCCTTCCCAAAAGCACAGACCCTGCTGGGTCTTTTTCTGTGAGCTGCACACTTATGCGGCCACTCAGAAGAAATGCAGATGCCACCCAGATGATTAGCAGAGTGCCCACAACTAGGTTTTGTGTTTCTATTGATGGTGCACCTGCCTCGCTGCACATAAAAAATTATTCTGCACATGGATGGAAACGATTAGTGAGAACGTTGGTTGTATCCTCTCAAGGAAGATGATCGGCTGACAGCAGCTTTTGGCTCCAAGTGTGTCCATGGAGTAAGATTTGGCTTGCGTCATATTAAGCCTTCAAAGAACTAAAGGAAACTGTACAGCAGTGCTGCGTCCGTGCTAGACGTTCCTAATCCTTAGGGCTGATTTTCTGTCCCAGATGTGTCACTTGCTCCATTTTCATAGCCTGACTTTAACTAGCTGTGGTGTGAGTTGGGCAGAGATCAGAGCGACAGTCTCCGTCCCCCGGGATTCCCCTTGCTCCAGTTACTCATACTCGAATGCCACATGAAATAAATGCAGAAGCAGCTGGCTATCACGACAGGCAGAGACCCACCAACTCCTCTCACGAAAGGCCACTAAGCTGCCATTGAAGGTCAGACAGTGCGTGATCCCGGCTACAGATCCAAGCTGGGGTTGAACTTGGGATGCCGCAGCGAAACATCCTCCGCCCTCTCCGCCCTTGCAGAATTACTTGCTGCACTTAGCAGCAGACCCAGCTTCAAACGAAGGGCACCGCTCGTTGAACCATTAATCGCTGACCCTCGCCCGTCACAAAATGGAGGCGACGGGCAAAGCTTTTAATTCGCGCGGTAAGGACGGTTGCTTGACGTAATCCACTTTGCTTCCTGGAGCAGGCGCGCGTCTCGGGCACCTGGGGACGACGACACAATTTGACTATTCAGGCGACTGGCTGCGGCTAGTGAGGCGTTAAGGGGAGTGACGCCATTTCTGCCGTGGTGTGATAGCAGCATCCCCTGTCAATCGTGGATGATTTGTCCGGCGCAAAGGAGGCTGTTTGGGGCTAACAGGGCTCGATTTCTCCGTTCAGCATTTCCGTCACGACTGAAAGCAAAATGCGGGGCTGATGGCAGCCCAGATAGTGAACAAAATCGATTAAAAATAAAAATGCTCTTTTTCCCCCCATCTGCTCAGCAGGTTTCATGCACCCCTCCCCCCCCTTTGCCAGTGTAAAGTCAGCCATGCCCCCTTCCCACCAACTGCAAGTTCATTTTCTGACCGCTGAAGCCATGAGGTGACGTGTCTTTGTCTCCCCGCATGAGCACCTGCCCTGTCTCTCGGCCTCTTGCTTTGTGCTTTGGGGGGGGAGATTTTTTCCTTGGAGATGTTTGGCCCTCTGGCTGCGCCGTCCTCAGAGCCAGCTGACTCCAGAGAACTCCTCGAGTACTCACCCAGTTTTTGGAGGCGATCTGGACTGTCATGGTGCAGGGTTTAAGCCAGGCTCTATTAAAGATTAGGCAAAGGCAGATTATCCCATGTCTGCCCAGGCCCCCTGATGGGGGGCAGCAAGGAGGTAACTGCCCCAGGGCCTGGGGATTCGGCTGCAGAGGCAGCCAGAGCCCTGAACTCTGTAAATCGCTGCTGGAGTGCAGCGTGGTGTGCTGCTCCAGGCAGCTCTTTCGCCCGCTTCCCCAGGCAGACTGGCCACGTGGTGCGTTCCAGGCAGCTCTCAGGTCTCCCTGGGGAGGCAGGGGCACTGCGTGGCAAACGCCAAGCAACACTTGGGGAGTGCACCTGGGTCCACGTAGTCTCCCCTTGGCTCTGTTCCTTCTGGTAGCACAGAGCCCAGCTTGCCCAGGAGTTCAGTGTCGCTCTTGGCTGCTCTGTATCTAGCTGGATCTGTTCTGGAAAGCCCTGTGTTGTTAACAGTCCTGAGCTTCCTGCACAGGGCTTGTCACCTGTTGATTTCAGAGCCTTTTACATTATCCCCATTTTACAGACAGAAAAACTGAGGTACAGGGAGGGGATATGATTTGCTGGGTGTGAGCACCAGGTATGGAATGTAGATCTTCTGCTCATTCCTGCCTGTACCCACTGGATCAAGTCGCTGGCAACTATGAGGTTGGTGTTATTTCTAACCTATATAAGCAAGTCAGCTGGCTCTGGTCCTGCCGTCCTCCTTCACGTGGTGCTGCTCCAGTTGCAGGCAGCGGAGGCCCCTGAACCAGTGTCCTCTCAGGAGAGGTGGCGGGCAGCACGTTCTCTGTGAGGGTGTGTAGGACTCGTGCCTCCTTCATCCGCCGGAACCCAGATGTGCCAGCCTCTCTGGGCAGGCTGCAGAATCCGCCTCGAGCGTTTGGGAGGGGAGGAACTGGGAGGCAGGGGGGGTTATGTTGGAGTCATTAACTACTATCAGGATATTGGCAGCTCAATACAATAGACTATAGCCTCCTGTTCTACGCTGTGAACAGACACCTGGAATGGGTTCCTTAGGGAGGTGGTAGAATCTCCATCCCTGGAGGTTTTTAAGTCCCCAGTTGACAAAGCCCTGGCTGGGTTGATTTAGTTGGGATTGGTCCTGCCTTGGGCAGGGGGCTGGACTTGATGACTCCTGAGGTCTCTTCCAGCCCTGGGATTCTAGGATTCTATTCATAGGATCCTAGGGCTGGAAGAGACCTCAGGAGTCATCGAGTCCAACCCCCTGCCCAAAGCAGGACCAACCCCAACTAAATAAACCCAGCCAGGGCTTTGTCAACTGGGGACTTAACCTTTGGGGATAGTGATTCTACCACCTTCCTAGGGAACCCATCCCAGTGCTTCACCACCCTCATAGTGAAATAGTTTTTCCTAATATCCAACCTACATCTCCCCTGCAACTTGAGACCATTGCTCCTCCTTCTGTCATCTGTCACCACTGAGAACAGCCTCTCTCCATTCTTCTCTGGAACGTCCCTTCGAGTAGTTGAAGGCTGCTATCAAATTTCCCCTCGCTCTTCTCTTCTGTAGATTAAATAAACCCAAATCCCTCAGCCTCTCCTCGTAGGTCATGTGCTCCAGCCCCCTAATAATTTTGGTTGCCCTCCACTGGAATCTCTCCATCGTGTCCACATCCTTTCTGTAACAGGGGGCGCAGATACTCCAGATGTGGCCTCACCAGTGCTGAATAAAGGGGAATAATCACTTCTCTAGATCTGCTGGCAAAGCTTCTCCTAATGCACCCTTAGACTTCTTGGCTACAAGGGCGCACAGTTGACTCCTATCCAGCTTCTCATTTTGTAATCCCCATGGCTTTTTCTGCTGAACTGCTGCTCAGCCAGTCAGTCCCCAGCCTGTAGCAATTCTTGGGATTCTTCCATCCCAAGTGCAGGACTAAGCCGGATTCGAGCAACAAAGCAGAGAATTGGCACAGAAAGTGGATCTTTAAATATCGCCCCTTTGTTGTTTTTAGACTGGAAGCTCTTGAGGGTAGGGCCAGCCCTTTTGTTCTGTGTTTGTCCAGCGCTGAGCACAGCGGGATCCCGGTCCCTGACTGAACCCCCAGCTGTTATGAGAATACAAAAAATACTTTGCAACCTTCCCTTCCTCCTTGGGTACCTTTATCCAGCATCTCCTAAGGCAGAGAGTAGACAAGGATGTCCCTCAGTTTGAGTGTGGAAAGCGACTCACAGATGCTCATGGGTGGTATTGTCTGTTAAGTTCTGTTTGTAACCCTAATAGGAAACAGGGGAGTCACTGTCCGCATAAGTGTACGTGCAGCTCCCTGCAATGGTTTGCATTTGCACTGACTTTGAACTAAGAATTTCATCTGCTTCGTTCACATACAGTTGCAGGAAAATGCTCTTTGGTACCTGAATTATTTCCTCCTTCAGTTTTTGCTTGTAATCAAATTGCAGAGTGGATTCTCGAACCCTGCCTGGGCTTTGGGAAAACCACAGAGCTTTTCAAGCTCCCATTTCCCTTTATCGAGTGGGAAAGCATCCTGTTTCACCAAGTCAGAGTTTGTCTCTTGGACGGATGCTAAAGGCCTTTGGATGCACATTCACTGCTGCCAATGCTTTCTGTCTTTCTGCAGTTGATCATGTAGTTCCAGAACTGGGCACCAGCTTGCTCAGTGCCTTTGACCAGTGGCGAGAATGGGCGGATAGCAAGTCGTGCTGCGATTACTCTCTGCACGTGGATATCACGGAGTGGCATAAAGGGGTGCAGGAGGAGATGGAAGCTCTGGTGAAAGATCATGGTAAGTTTGGGCTCATTTAAATTGATGTTTTTTTTAAATAAAGATCATGGTAAGTTTGGGCTCATTTAAATTGATTTTTTTTTTTAAAACTTTGGTTCTGAGGATTGGCCCTTGCAAATCATTTTTATTCTTATTTATTTGTGTTGGCCAAATTGACGGCCAGGTCAGAGTTCAGAAGTGGTTGGTTTTGGTGGGGGTGGGGACATCAAGAGGCCATGCAGTAAGGGGGCTGGAGAAGTAAAATTAGTGTAAAGGGCAGGACCATTCTGCCTCCTTCTCTCTGGAGTGGTGATTGAGTCGGAAGACGGTGCTGGCTGCGTTTAGGGCGGAAGAGGCGATGGCTGCGGTGGTATTGCCCAAGGCTGATGTGGACGGCTACCCATGTTATTCAGGACAAAGCATAGAGGCCAGATCCTCAGATGGTGTTTTTCAGCATAGCTGCGTTGTCTTCGGTGGAGCTTTGGTGATCGGCAGCAACGGAGGATCTGGACCCTCCCTAGAAACAGGCATCTCCCTGAAGGAGCGATAGAGATTAGGGACGTGACCGTGTAACCGGTGAGCCTCACCCTTAACGGGAGGCTTACTGGTTAAGGTTAACTGGTAGGGGCTGGTTAAGGTTAACTGCTCTGGTGTCCCAGCTGGGGCAGCCTATGTCCGTGGCTGGCCCAGGTGCCCCACAGGCA